ATAAATGATTATATAAACTATAGCCCATGATTGTTAAGACTGTTGCACTTTTTGTGTTGGCAATATGCTCATGCTTATATAGGCCTACTGTTATGTGTGCATGCAACATTTGTATATTTATAACCACCTCTGAGAAATGTCGGGGTCACAATGGTTTTATGAGAAGACTTAAAAAGTCATACATTTGAAATAGTGACTGACACCTGCAGAAACCATGGTTGTGATGTTCCATTCCACTATAGATTCCATTCCACTATAGACATGGTTACATCAAAACGAGTATTAAATATTAAGCCAAAAATATACAACCGAATTATGTATACGCTACTACTAGTTTTATAAAATGATATGTGCAAATAAAAATACACACTTTTGTCTTTGCAGACCTTTCATCTTTGCATTAACTCGTGTTGTATTACAGTTTTTTCAGTCGCTTGGGTAAACTTGTCAGATTTAAAATTTGCTAAGCAGTAAGTGCATTTCTCAAAAAAGCACATACAAATAGCCAAACAGCATGGATTACCTGCAAAAGCCAGTCTCTTGCTTAAAGTCCTTGGTTCATCTCTCAATGAACATGTCAGTGCCGTCAGAATGACAAGTCCTTGTGTCATTGTGTACGGATAAGACAGTCAAATTACTTACTCATGTTGTCAATGTAACAGTGTACTCTGGATGGATGTTCTCATGTAAGCTTCGGCTAATTTATTTCATTTTTTTGCGGTTTGTACTGTGATTTGTTGCCAGATCATGTCATTGTGATACAGAAAGGAAAAGACAGCACTCCATAGGACAAAAAAAAAAAAAAAAAAGCAAAAATGTGAACATAGGACAATCTCCTTTCAGATACGCCTCACCTTCATTAGACAAAGTCCAGATTGACCTGGGAGCAATTTACCAATTATAGATTTAGAAAAAAACGTCTAATGGAAATGTACAGAAAAATGCATTATGACTGAATATTATGACAACTTGTTCAACTTCTTTTATATATAATATATAACTTGACATTAACTTTTTTTTCTCACACCCCACTGGTCATTTTTACGAGACAAAATTTTGTTGTTGAAAACTGTAAATTTGACTTTTGCATGCAAAAAGTACTAGAGTAAGAGACGTTTTACTCGATTTTGGTCATTAAAATAACTCTGACTACCATTATTAGGATATAGGTAGCCTATATCTGCTGTAGTAACTTAAAACCTACAGTAGTTTGACATAAAACCAAAACAATAGCCATTCTTGTCTTAGGAAATTTTTATTAAGCAATTTTTTGAATAACAGTAAGTTCATGACATGTTAAATATATAGTATATTCTGCTGGTTTTAAACATACATAATAATAATAAAAGTAAATACAGTCACGTAACAACCATAACATTACCATTATGTCTTAGGACATCTTTGACTAACTTTTTACTACCTTGACCAAATGTTGACTAATGAAGGTACATTTTTGACAACTATTTACTAGTTAGACTACTTTATTGTCAAACCACGTTGCGTACGAATGCATTCAGCGGACCCATATGACAGTGTAGTGCTGTACATGACAAATAAAACACGAGACAGGTGTTTAGAGAAAGAAGTTTATTTGGAACTTACCTTGGTCAAGTACAAAGAGCAACACCGTCACAACTGACAACGCCGAGCGAGAACCGCCGAGCTTTATAGGAATGCATATGCAAATGTTTACATGGCGACGTCACTGCTGGGAGTCTCGTTGTCATGGTGAGCGCTGAAGAGAGCAACACCTCTGATTGGAGCAAACAGCCTCGGGAATCTCCGTCACGGCGTGATGAGTTGCGGACAAAAACATATTAAATATACTGAATATATATATATTTTTTTTTTACATTTTTTGGTGCTTTGTATTACTCTGGGATGCAGTAGAATAGGGAGACAGATGAATATAATTAAAGACCAATGACCCTGACAATCTCCTAGTGGTGGTAAGCTTCTTATTATCCAAGGACGCCATCTAGCGGTCACATAACCTAATAGCATGTTACTTGCTACTAACCACGAGAAGGGTAATCCTGCACAACTGGGGCCTCATGTACGAAGACTTGCGTGGAAATCTTACTAAAACATAGAAAAAAATTCAGATGTATGAAACACTGCGTACGCCGAATCTCACGCATATTCTTTTGTACATCCGAATGAACGTGAAACTGAGCGCAACATGCACGAGCACAAAACCCCTCCCTGCCTCCTCCCCCGTATGAATATGCTAATGACTATGCTAATGGAAAAACCCAATGAAAAAGCAACGGCAAAATCAAGCAAAAAGATAAACTTTGAACAGAATGTGAATTGGAGGTGCTGCTTTCGGAGGTAACGTTAGACCGGAGAAAAGCAGTGTTAATTGCAAGTTTGTTCTCCGGAATTAACAACAAAAGAAAAAAAATAGAGTGGGAGAGTTAAGCTGATGCGGATAACACAGTTGGGTCTGAACATCGCACTGAGTGCATTGAAAAAAGAAATAGTGTGGTTTATACACACTTGTTGCAGTATTCTTAACAGTCTCAGTGGCGCGCTCGTAAGACGCATGTGATCATGTTTTGACACGTTCGAGCATGAACGCAGCTCGAATCCAGCGTCTGATGAACTCTTTCTTCTTTTTTTCCCCCGCTACATATCAGATTTTGCCTACTATTTATCACGAGAAAGACAAGTAGGAATCATCAATAAGTTCATATCAATAAGCATCATATTTTATTTGCACATTTATTGAATGGAAATGTTTCTGATTCACGCATGCAAATTCATCTTCAGATAGTGCCTTTATAGCAATGTGCGTGCGGTAGATCGCTCAGATTACATTGGGAAAACAGGCGACTGCTGCAAATTGTGCTTTAATGTTTAGCTGGTCAACTGTATGGTATGGAAATCTTACATACCTACTATATGAACCCGTCTCATACAGCTGCCATTGCAAGGCTCAGACACTTTGTAGAGAGGAATTTAACACAACTGCCTCTAGGAGTCGCCAATGGAAATAAAACAGACACGCACAAAAAATGTGCGTACGCCAGCCAGAAAGCTGCCGTGAAGCTGCGCACATTCCCACGTTCAGTTCATTGTTGGTAAATCCAAACGTGAGCGATTCTGAGCGTGAAACCTGGCGTACGCAAAGTTTTTGTGCGTACGCAGCGTTGATACATGAGGCCCCTGGAGTGGCTGCACTCTCAGCACCGCATTTTTAGGACCGCATCTTTAGGACCGCATCTTTAGGACCCTAGTTTTTTGTGATAGCGTCAACTGTCGGATTGGATCATGGATGCGCTAATGGACAACACGGATGACAAGGAAAGTGTAAGTACCGATTTTCTATTAAGTTTTATTTTAAACTGTTAAAGTATGTGTTTATTTTGTAATGCTGCTGTTATATACTGTGAGTTTATGCAGAAATGCCAGATTAGCCTGCATGATTTACCCCACTTTCAAGGGACTGTTATTCTTCTTCTTTTTTCCAGAAGAAGAATAAAATATAATAATAATAATAAATATGGATAATTTTACACAGCCAGAGTGAGAGCTGCTATAACTGTTATTAATTTTCTAGAGTTCGTTTTCTAGTTTGATTAAATGCTACGACGATCGTAGTTCGTGACAATGGTTTAATGAAACATTGTTGATTTAATGGCTTGTTGACTTAACGGCTAATGTGCTTAGTGACACATGCATTAAACTAAGATGGTAAAAGTACGTTGATGTGTGAGTTTCAGATTTATCTAAATTTTGCTAAATTCGTGTAAAAACCATTACTCAACGTTGTATTACATTAACACATTAAAAATTGTGCTGACTGCCTGTTTGCCCAACAGTGTTATTAGCCTGATGTTTTGTCATCGTTTTACAGTGATGAATGAGATGTTTGACGGTTTTAAAAGTTAGGCTTATTCTGCAGTCCTTAACCATATAAAGTCTCATATCTTTAGTGTATATCAGGTATGTTTTATCTGGCGAATAAGAAGGGATGGCCAATATGATTGGATTCCTTAGGCTCATTGTAGGAAGAAAAGAAAACAAACTACAGGAATATTTTCATTGAGGTTATCGCAAACTGTTGAGTAACACTTTATAACATCTGCATACTATAAATAATTTATTAACTAGTTAATTTATTAATATTTTATTTGTTTAGCATTAACTCTACATTTAATAGACATTGATAAGCAGTTTATAAATACAGTTACAAATGCTAGCTGTGTTCTTGAGATTATAGCATATCTATGATGAAGTGCAGCTTATCTGTGGTGTTCATTTTCCAGAGGAATGTCTGGCCAAATAAGTATATAAACTGCATGCTGGGTGCTACTCATTTATGAATCCATGTAAAATGATTTGCTGTTCTGTGGTGGTATTTTAGTCCATATTTAAATGATTTTATTTTATTTTTTTCATAGGCCATCGTACATGCTCTGGGTGTCTTGAGGAGCTTGTCTTTGGAGGATGCTGAGCAGGTCTTTCTTTCTGGTAAAGATTATCATTACAGGTCAGAAAATGGTTAATTTTTGCACAATGCTCAAAGAGCCTTTTTGTTACTGGTATATATGTTAACTCAACAGTGATTGTTCTCTATTTCAGTGAAGTAAAATAATTTAACAGACTGTCACCGACTCGGTCCCAGTCATTCCCCTCGCTGGCCAGCAGAGGCCGCCATCCCCGGATTTCTAAGCATTACATCATCCACCTAGACTGATTGTGCACACACCTGAATTGAATCCAGTTAACGACCCACGTACCCTTTATAAGCCGCACTCAAACACTCAGTCAGTGCGAAGTCTTGTTTAGCCCCGGCCAGCATTACTGAGAGGTATTTCCTGCCTGATCTCCTGTGTATTACTCCAGCCTGTTTCTGACTCTGCTTCGTCTTCTACCTGCCCACGACCCAAGCCTGATACACGGACTCTGATACTCGCTGCCTGCCCATGACCCAAGCCTGATATACGGACTCTGATACTTGCTGCCTGCCCTCGACCCAAGCCTGATACACGGACTCATATTCTCGCTGCCTGCCTTTGACCCATGCCTGGTAAATCACTCTGTGTCTGTTTGCCGCCAGCCTTGAAACCTTTAATACTACTGTTGATGTGTTTGCACCTTTGTGCATATTGTGTGTTTGAGTGAGAGCGTGATTAATAAATACTGCATAATGGATCCCTCCGTGTCAGTCTCCTCGTTACACAGACAGGTTGACAAACAACTGACGAAAGAAGAGAGACCATTCAATAGGTGGGTATTGCTCTTATATACTAAAAAATATGGAGTTGGCAGTGAGGTTTCCTGTTTGGTTCTCCCTATATATATATATATAAACTTATTATACCACTTATATTAAATATTAATCTAAATTTAATTGCATAACAATTGATTAACCTTTTGAGTTCATATACATGATTTTACATATTCAAGAATATCTATATACATTTTTTTTCTTTACGACTTAGTCCCTTTATTTATCAGGGGTTTCCAGAGCAGAATGAACCGCAAACTTGTGCAGCATATGTTTTACACAGTGGATACCCTTCCAGCCGCAACCCAGTACTGGGAAACGCCCATTTACACTCATACACTTGAACATGGGGAGAACATGCAAACTCCACACAGAAATAACCACTGGCCCAGCCGGGGCTTGAATCAGCAACCTTCTTGCTGTGAGGCGACGGTGCTTACCACTGTGCTGCCCTATGTGCTCTATGCGGGTGAGTGGGATTGACAAACCACCTGGAGGACACACTCTTGCTGTCTTAATGCACCAGACATTTTGAAATCATGTGCATTTCATGTTTAATTGTATAACTGCTATTTTATCTCATAGCACTTCATTTTTGTCTTGATATTTAATATCTCTTGTTTTAAATACACTATGAGCAGAATCTGCACTAATTATTTTCCTTGTTCCCTATTTCCACCTGGGGATATTTATCCAGAGGCCACTAGAGATCGTGACCTGTGAAGAGATGATGCCACCATAGAGGACTTCTAGATGTATCCATAATCCTGAAACAGACCGTATCATGAGCAGATGCAGTGGTGGTCATGGAGGAGTGGAGAGCATGAGACTGATTAATGAAAGACCCCAGTGACAGATGAGTGCCCACATTGATCCTGTGGTCCAGCCTGAAAACCCACTGGTGACCTACTCACACCTGCAGCTTCTCCACAATGGATGCCCAGTGTTCTTCAGCCTCCAGCGCCTAGACTGCAGCTTTGCAGGTGAAGTGTAGCCAGAAGAGAAATGGTTGTGCCCAACTGAGCCTGGATTCTCTCAAGGTTTATTCCTTCACTTACTTCAATTGGTGAAGTTTTGTTATTCCACTGTCGCCATTGGCTTGCTTGGTTTAGGACATGTGGAACTGTGCATCGGTGGCTTTGCTTTTCAGTGTTTGGACTTTCAGCATTGAAAACTAAACCACACTGAACTGAATTTAATAAATGTTAAGCTGCTTTGACACAATCTACGTTGTAAAAGTGCTTTAGAAATACAGATGAAATTAATTGAAATTGAATTGAATATTCAACATGTTCCCCTTTTTCTCAGAAAACATATTTATAAAGGTGCTGTTGACGTGAAATTTTCACCAGATGTTGATAACAATTTGTAAAGTAATTAGATTTGTTTCCTATTCATATATTTTTTTTCTTTGGTTATCAGGTCAATAGCACCTTTTTAGAAATCTGTTTTCTGAGACAATTGGAAACGACTGGAAACAATTCTGAGACAATTGGAAACGAAATACTTATTTACCCGTGTGTGTGTGTGTGTACACTTGAACTCTTCTTCTCTCTCTCATTAACAGCAATAAAAAATTGAATACAGCAACTGAATAAACAATGGGGTGTGTTTTTTTTTTTTTTTTTTTTTTTTTTTTTTTTTTTTGTGGTTGAATAGCATTAATACAAAAAGAGTGTGTGGATATTTATATAAATGTACATTCTTGAATCATTCTTGTGTCTTGACTCTCTAAAACCTTTACAACCTGGTTTTAAATTAGTAACTGAAAATGCTGATCACATTTGATTTCAATTTATTTTCCCTTATACTGAGCTAATTAGTTCAATGTAATGGGGTTCATCAATATACAGTATTTTTCAAGGAATTTGAGACTTAAGGTACTCAACTTTATTTATTCATTTATATTTTAGGTGTAAAATACCAGGCTGGCTATGGGCCTGTAAACAATATAGGGAGTGTGTCAAGTTGTCACTGAATGAATGTGTGAATATAAAACCAAGTTAACCTTAATAACTTACACGTTCACGTTTCATTCTGAGCATTCAGTGTCCACAGTTTGGTTAACCATATGTAACTATTTTTGCTAAAATAATTTCTGCAATCAAAAACGAGTAATGTGTATTAATCAGCATAGCGAGAACTTACCTGATATAACACGAGAACTGCAGGTCGTCACTTAATTCAGCTCCCTTTAGCCAAAGACGTCTGCAGTTGCATTAAAGCAGTGTGGTGTATGGTAAAAGCAGAATTAGGCATCTAACCGCACAACACGGCATCTTTACTATTGCAGTCTGGTTTTTTTTTTTTTTTTTTTTGGCAACCGGGGACCCGTGTAACGTCACGTGTGACGTAGGTTGGTAATTGGTCTATAGAAATGATCAAAACAATATAGACTGATCCCAACAATAGTGTTATCTGTGGATCAGATACGTATGTCATTGGCTACCTGCTCAATGCAACCAAGGATGGTGCTCAATGTCATGCAAGCTGGGGTGAGATCAGCCAACGCTGCACTGAGACACCAGCTAATCACCTGACGGCACTCTGTTACACACAACACAGTCTTCAGAAGAACAGTAAAAGATCAAACGTATCCCTGGGAATTATCCCTTAGTCTGGGATAGGCTTGTAAGGTTTAGGAAAAGTCAAGGTTTTAAAGCTGCCAAAGTTTTCTGTTATACCCTTCCTAAGGTATATTGTATTTAGTTTTTTAGGGCAACAGTATATCCAGAAGAAAATGAACCTCTACATCAAAAGTTACTGGTCCTAAATATTTTAAATGTTTGTTAAAATAAAATATATTATGGTAAATGGGGGTAAGAGTTGTCTTTTTTTCAGACATGTAAAAAGATCTTATTTTGGAGCAGTAATCACAATACCGTGATATTTGTCTCTAAGGTTATCATACCGTCAGAATCTTATACCGGCCCATGCCTAGTCTGGGAATGATTTGTCTCTGAATGTCTGCCATCTCTTACCTGTAGACAGCTCTCGAGGGAAGTGCAGTCTGCTTTAGCAGGTGACCCTGCATGCGGCTCTGACGCTAAAAAACAACCGCAGAGGATGTTGTAGTAGAGTGTCACCCCGACTGACCAGACAGTAGATGGTCCAGCAGATGCTGCTGAAACCACTCATCAGGGCCGTACTGAGGAGTGCCTGAGAGACCCAAAAACACATTGAGTTTCCCTTGATCATGCATATTCATGTTCAACTATATTTAAGAAGAAATTTTGTGAGAAGTTTCCTTCTGTAATGCAAACCAACCTGAAAATATCTGAAGGCTGAGTGCTTTAGGAGATCTCCACAGCCGAACTCCAGCAGCTTTAGGTCAGCAGGTTCTCTGGTGTGACGTCCCGGTGCAGGACCCAACAGCTCTCGCAGTGTTTTGGCGTGCTGATGAGCTGCACCAGAACTTTCTTGGCCAGTATTTCATCCAGTCTTTGCAGAAACTGCTGATCCTGGAGGGAACCGGACGCTCCAGGATCAAGATGCATCGAGTGCGACGGTCAAACCACTCTACGAGCTGCACGACATTAGGGCAGTGAGTAGCTGTATTGACCCGAGTCATCAAAGCCACCTCTCCTGCAGAGAGAAACACCCCATTAGATCCAGGAGTGAGTGCAGATAAACCAAGACTAATAATCTTATGAATTCACAACTTCCAACCAGAGTGTTCTGTTTTTAGAGACATACTTGATGGTGACCTGTTATCGACAGATGAACCACAGTAAATCACACCCACCTATTTGTGAGCGCTATTTCTTAAGGCTGCTTAAATGAAGAAAATGTCTTACTGGAAGTCCATCAGACCTGCGGGTCCCAGCAAACACAGAGCCGAATCCGCCTCGTCCAAGCAATCGGCCTTTTGCATATAATTCTGCAATATATAAGATCACAAGTAATGTACTTTAAGCACAAAAAACAATGTTGTAGTATTTGAAACTAAAGGACACAATGAATGGTTTAATAACAGACCTCTTCCCGATGGCTTGGCAGGTCTTTCATATGAGGTATCAGTTGTTCATATTCTGGATTTTGCTGGATTTTATTCTACTGCGTCCTCTTCCTTTGAGCCAGATCTGTTGTCACAGAAGCAGCCAACTCAGACGGTAGAGGTGCTAAATAACCAGCTACCTCTTAGTTCGGTGGCTGGGCTGGGTTCCTGATCTTGGTCTCCAGTTGCACTGTTTCACAACCTTATGACTGGCTGTTTGCACTGACACAGAAGCTGCTAGTGCAGACAGCAGAGGTGCACAATGGTAAGGTAACTCTTGGCTCTGTGGCTGGGTTGGGTTTGGCAGTGGATGTGGATCCTGGTCAGCAGTGTTATGATTTCCAACCTCCTGACCAGCCGTTTGGGTGAAAGCAGCCCTACTGGATCTGGAGCGGCCTGAGAATGGAATATTTTATACATGGGCAATTCTTTAACTACGGGCACTTTTAGCCTTATGAAGTTGAGTAAAAACAACTTGTTCAAAATTAATGTAACATAGCCTAATAAGTTTAAACAATGTGTCTAGTTGTAAGATCTGTAGGAGGACACACTTAGATAAGAAGTGATATTGTTCATGTTTAACATTTTTTTCCATCATAAACTGAATAAATTTCATTTCCACCACATCCGAATATACAGCCTTTATTCCAAAATGAAATAAATTATGGCAGTCAAACATTGTCTAAGATCATTTTTGTATCTAGTTTAACCAATATTTTCACAATATATACAATAATTATACATTTGTCAATTAAGTTAAATTAAATTTATTTTTTAAAAATGTGTGTGGTGATGGAAATGACAGGGTTTGGTGGAAATGACAATAAAGCAGTGTTAATGTAGAAAAACATTACATATTTATTAGAAAATTATTGAACTCTTAAACTCACACTTATTAAACTCAATTGACAAAATTACTGAGCATAACCACACATTTTTTGGCATGCACCGCTGAAATTTATCTAAAAAAACTGATTTGTCTAACAAATAAACAGTAACAGCATACTGTAAATAACTGATTATTATTAAAATATTATATAAAATAATTTCAAAATAAAAAGAAGTTCACATCTAGAGGAGTTGGACAATCAAACTGAAAGGCCTGGTTTTAGAGCACAACAATTTATAGGTGCGGTGGTGCAGTTGCTTTTTTGCACATTTCTACAATTTATTGTTAAAAAGTTAGAGATGGCTTCACTGATTAACTTTTTAATTGATACTAGCTTTTAATGTATACAAATCGCTCTTATACCTTAATTTTGTTTGGTTTTTAAAAACATCTTTGAAGGTACAACATGTTTGGAAACGATGTAGACTAAATGTATTTCCTTATCAAGCAATATTTACCTTGATTTTTCTTCAAGTGTTGTTAATGAAAAATTTAATTCTCTACATATCGTTCTCAGATGGCACTATTCATTTTCAATGAAACCACCTAAATAACCCTTCACACACACTTTTTAAAGCAAAATTTCAGTGTTGTGGTGGAAATTATGTGCTATATTTTGTATAAAAAAAACAACATTGATAATAGTCTCACATTAATAAATATATATAATAATATAATATTTAAATTATTTCAATAGCGCTTAATTAAGAAATATTAATATATCCCAAATAACTAATATTTTAAAATGTTATTTCATTGTTGGAGTTATGGGTGTGCGAAAACAGGGATTTTGACACCTAAAACGAGGTTGAATAATATGAAAAAATATATAATAGAAAGCTAGTACTTTTTTTAAAGTAAGTTTCTTTTTCTTAGTTTGGCTCTGGGTGGCCACAGTCCTCTAATGCAGCTTGGTCCTGCATTCAGTTCAGCTATCCTATACTAAAAAGGCTCTATTGACGCATTCATCTTATGTAAATATCTATGATAATTAACAATGCGAGGTGCGCGTAATGAGATGTGGATTGTGAATGTTATTTGATTAACGTTGTTTCCATCTATGCTGATGTTGCAAGCTGAATTCGGACGGGTTTTATTTATATAAAAATATTTATGCTGGATCATATTTGAAACCTATAGGCTACAGTTTTTAATGACACAATGGAATGATTCACTCACCTCATTTACTCTCTATCAAGGGTTTTAAATATTGACCAAAGAATATGGAGGCAAAGAAGATATTGCTGGCACCCAACTTCGATAGCAGAAATATGACGTATATAAGTTATAACATAAAAGGTCCCAGCAACTAGCATTTTTCAAAGTAACTTCTTTTGTTAAACAGAAGACAAACGAATAAAGGGGAATTTGACTTTTATTTTGGGCCATTAAAAGTCTCACATAAGTATACTGTATTCTGCTACAAACGTGGATAATCACGCCGTGATGTAAATGTTACAAAAATAACCGTCTAACACATCATTTTTTCATTGTAAACATTTCTTAGCAAACTGGAAACATTTTCCTGACTAAAACTGACAGACACTCTACAGTGAAACTGGTCTTAAAATAATATTCAAATGTAGCCAAATGTCCACCTAAATAAGGAAACACTGCATTAGAAGCTTAAACCCTTTTATAGGCTACATATCAAAATGAAACACCGAGCAAGTTCATTTGTGAAATAATGCTGAAGATATCTGGAATAATATTCAGCCCTGGAAACAAACCGTACGTCGAATAAGCCCAAAATGTCAGACAGCCTATTAGACTGCTGTTGCCAAAAACTCAAAGCCAACACCAGTCTGATAAGCTACATGACAGAAAGGGACACTTTTACTGTCTGTCTGAACACAACACCATAAAACCTGCTAATTCTTAAATATTATATACTGGCTACAAAACAGTTAGACAGATTAATTGATTAATTGACATTACCTACACATAGCGCAACCAGCTAACTAGCTGAATAACCAAACTGACAGATAGCTAGCAGACAAAAAGACCGAAAAAACGATAGACAGAACGATAGATAAGATAGACAGACAGACAACGATAGATAGATAGATAGATAGATAGATAGATAGATAGATAGATAGATAGATAGATAGATAGATAGATAGATAGATAGATAGATAGATAGATAGATGGATAATTCCTTTCACGTACCTTTTTGTTTACATACTCCAACTTCTGTCTTCGGTCATCCCAAATTATCATTCTTTTCTTCCTTTTTTTCAAATAAATAATCAAACCTAACGTAAAACGAAACGTAACACGACAGCTGTATTAATCAATTTAATGTCAAACAAATGCAACAATAGTTCTGAGAAAGAAAAATTAAGTATTTCAGTTAGCTACACAAATATTTCAGCCCAAATAAGAAACTAAAAGGATGGATCAACTTATGGTTTTAGTTCAAAAGTCAAAGGTCCAAATGCACAAACAAATGCAAACAGCATGTCATTTTCTTGGGTTAAAAGTTACATCCACTAAGTTTGTGACATTTTGGTTTAAGATTTAAGTTTAAGAGAATAAACATCATGTGCGTGTCTAGTCCAACCATAACTTACAAGATGTGCAAACTATTGAGAAACCACCATGATCCGAGTTGATATTGCTCTCCTCTTCGAACAGTTAAAGAAATACAAAAAATGACATCAATATCCATTAAAAAAACATATCCCTGAAAATTCCAATCACGAAACCTCAGAAAAAAGCAGACCCTGCCCATCCATACCTGTATGTTAGAAATTAAATAAATCAATCTATTGATTAAGAACTGTATTCACTTCAATGGAAGCATGACCTCCGAATGTTGCATAAGGCATTGCAACAAATATATGAGTCCACACACAGCCTGTCGTCTAGACTGCCTCGGTAGTTTAAAGACTAAAACGCTCCAAAAGTTAAATGTGTTTTTTTTTTTTAAATAGCCGAGCAAACTACACACAAATGAAGAGGGACTTGACTGAACTAAAGGGATCTGGATGAAGGTTAACATACAGAAGCGCACAGAAATCAGTGCTCATGTAGCAGTTTTAGCTTAAATATTTCGTAGGTTCCCGAGGAGGAGCGCGAGATGCTTTTGTGTGAGTCCGTCATTTAGTTTTCTCCTCTGAGTATTTCTTCTGCTGGAGACGTTTGGCGTAGCTCTGTGCCATGGAGTTGATGATGGACAGGATGAAGTAGCACACCATCACCAGCACCACTTTCTCAAACACCCACGAGAGCCAGCTTTCACCCTGCACAGGAACAAACAAAAATCTTGTATTAAATATTTTTATTGTATTATATATTTAAATAATCAATAATTAACTGATGATGATGATTCTATGATTTTAGTCAACACAATTCAATAAGTAATTTAAAACAAATTTAACTGTCATAATTTAAGGGTTTCTGCATGTTACACCAAGTTAAGTTTAAGACTTTTTAAAACCTTTATGAATCAAACTTTAGACCTATACAGGACTAAATGCTAAGGATTTCTTTTTGAAAATCCCAGTTGGGAAAGATTTTTCACTCGCCCTATCAAAATGATTATAATCAACACAATAATAACAATATAAAATAAGCCAGGTCAGTCAGTATTCTCAGCGTAAACACATGGACAACTTTTAAACAAATGTTACTTTAAGGGAAGTAATTAAACCATTATGGCAAGATTGGGTAGCTATGCATGAACAAAGGAAAATTAAGACCTGCAACACAACATTTCAACAGATTTCAGACTTAAGGCCTCTTGGACACTCTTTTTATTATATAAATTTCACTATTATATTTACATACATATTTTGAGAGAAAGGCATTGTTAGTGTTTGCAAAACAAATGTACACAAACACACATACAAATAAGGAAGTAAAAAGTATTTAGTTTTAAAACAGAATAAAAAAAAAAAGTAAATACAAAAACTTAACAATGAATAATAAAATGTCTTATAAATTAATAAACAATAATAAAATAGTCAAATAGCATTGGATTTCATGCTAACTTAAAACAAAAAGAATCAAAAACACTTTTCTGGCTTCATTATTCTAGGGTTAAGCTTAAACTCTACCCCTGCATCTCTAAATGTAACAAATGTGAATCTGAGGAAGGCTCCTTAGGACGTCTTTTTTGGTCGTGCCCAAAACTTTTTGAGTTTTGGAACGAAATTTTCAGCTTTTACTCTAAGGATTATTCTTGTGAGGGCATCCCCTGATCCAGTAATTGCTGTTTTTGGTTGGTCTGACTCGCTTTATGGGTTCAGTCATCAAATTTAAAAAAGCTGTCCAATATGAAATGGCGACAGTTACAAAAAATAGTCTATGGAAAAAGGCATCGAAACCACTTTTAAATACTGGCTTTCAGAATTATATAGCACTTCACATTTAAAGAGATTTAGACCCAATCTTTCTGATAACATTGCTAGCTTCAAAGCCACCTGGAAACCCTTTTTTAAATTATTTGTCAAAGGACAAGGATAACAGTTTAAAGGTATAATCCTGTCATCAGCTGCAAAATCACCATATTGCCTGTGCCCTCTGAACTAGATATATATGTGTAACATTGTTGACACATGTATAATACTGGAGGAACTGATGTAACAATGGTTTTAAATATTTTTCTTTGTCTTTTTGTATTGTTTTGTGTTGCTTTAAGGTCAAAATAAAAATATAATATAAAAAAACACATTTCTGTGCTTCCAGTTTATGTTAAAACTATATTAAATATAAAATACAAGCTTAAAAAAAACTAAATTAAAAATAAAACTATATAAAAATAAAATATTTCTTTAAATCAAGGATTACTTTAACTTGAAACTACATAAAATAGTTTATATATATATATATATATATATATATATATATATATATAATATTAAAATTATTCAGAGTTTTAAAGCAAATAAATCATCCTTAAAAGCAAGAAAATATTTTACTTCCAATTCAGGTTAAGACTTTATAGAAATTGAATGAAATAAAACTTAAAATTGATTAAATACCAAATAAATAAATTTAAATAAAAAAACTCTAAAAATAAAGTGAATATGATTAAATAAATCATTAGATATTCCAATTATTTAGTGGCTAGGCCAAATTAAAGTCCTTTCTACTTAACCTTAGAACAAAAATAACACAAATAAAATATGAAAATAAAGCAGGACATCATTGGCCGGTTCTTACTGCTGCTGCTCCATCGCCTGCTGGGTTGTGAAGCTTGGTTCTCTGGGCCTCCAAATACTCCCTGAAAGGCTTCTGAAGAGATGCTCCGACTCCAGGAATAACGCTGAACAACAGAACAAACAGCATTAGCAGAAGACTCACCAGACGCTGCAGCGGCCGATGCTCAAGTGAAGCCTCCAGAACACTGAAGCAGCAGCTTTCAACCCTCACTTATAAACACTCAGCCTTCCTTCCACCAAATTAAAGAGGAAGTGACTCAATACTGTGTCATCGCAGCAATGAGGAAGAACCGCCCAGTTCTGAGTGGCTGTGAATGTCAGTGAAACCCAACAGTCATGTAGGATCAATCACAACTTGCACCAGTCATTTAAAGGGATAGTTCACACAAACTGTTATAAGGTGCTTTTACTTCGACTTTCTTTCTCCTATTGAAAACAAAAGAAGATGTATTGAAGAATGTTGGTGGCTTACATAATGTTTTCTTTCCTATAATGGAAGTCAGTGAGTGCCAGCGATCAGCATTCTTCAAAATATCTTCAAATTAAAAGAAGGACACTGTAAAAATAAATGTAAATGGGTGCCAGCTATCAGCCAGCATTCTTCAAAATATCTTCTTTTGTGTGCAACAGATAAACACTGTAAAAAATACTGGGTTCCTAACAGAAAATGTGTTGAAAAAACATGAAGGCATTAAGTTAACTTATTAGTGTCTACAAATTGAAATGGATTGAACATAAAACAAATAGTTTGTCTCCCTCCAAACTCAACAATTATGTTGTTTCAGCTCATTTTAATTATGTTTCTTGAACAAACAAACAAAAATAATAATATTGTCTTTCATTTTTAATTGATAGAAAGTCAAATATGTTCTGAACAAGTCAGTAAATGATGGAAGAATTGATTGTTTTTGGTTGAGCTATCGCTTTAATTTAGTTTAATCTACTAAAGATGCTGTTCAAATGAACCACAGTGTGAAGTTGAACCTCACCACAACATAGCGACATGCTGACTACGTTCTAAGATGCTGATTATGATTGGCTTAATTATGAAGCTGCAATTGTCGTGTCTCGTTCACAGATGAATGGTAATTTCATTTTCTTTTGAGATTGTTTCCAATCCACATGTCTACTTTTGAGTCACCCTGCTGCATCATCTAAAATCAATCTGCCACAGACATCCCCATACATGGAGAGCCTTTCTCTGGCTTACTAATAAGTGAACTCAGTGTGTGGTGAAAATGCAGAGTAAGGGTGATGATGTCGTGATCATGTCATCGGATAAATAAAACTAAAAGGCATACTGCAAAGAACAAAAAGACTATAATAAATAGGATTTTGATCCTATTTTAATGTAAATTAAGCTAGTTTTTTAATACTTGTGGTGAGTTTCTTAAACAATGAAAATAATGCCACAATAAAGGTCACAAATGAAAAACCCAGCAAACAATTTTGTGTTTAATAGATGTCTAAACACAGACAGTCTGTCTAAAAGAAGGCTAAACTTGGGCTGTCAGTGAAAATCTAATTGACATCTAAGAACAGCCTAAAACTACACTAGTCATCAAATAGACAGATTAGACAGACTTTATATGTGTAGTCATTCATTTCTGTCTATTTGACGACCAGTCTAGTTGTGGGCTACTAGACTGTAAAAAGCAGAAATGCTTGCTGGGAGGTTTTA